TTATGTATCTCTAAAGCTTCAAAATGAAATTTTCATATCAAAAAATTTAAATAGATTAACGATGTTAAGTGAGAGTTAAGTATGTGGAATTTTTTATATGAAGATTTTGGTTAAAGTTGAATAAATAAAAAATATATTTGATGGATATTTTTGGATAAAAGAATTTTTTACAAGAGGTTTTGATAAATTATCCTTTAAAAAAAATGAAATATATGATGCTAAAAATCTAAAATTTATCCAAAAGCAAAAGATTCAATATATATAAAAGTAAATAGATTGGTAAAGCTTTGAATGTACTAGAGCTGTAAAATTATACTGAAAGTTCGTATTTATAGATTGCTTTGACGTAGAAAATGAAGTTTATTTTGATAAATTAAAATCTAGGAATGTGGTAATGAATAATTGCGTAACGATGTATTTTTTTTAATATATTAGGAGATTTTGATTTGATGGACTTTGTTGTTTTCCTGAGACAGATTGGATCATCTAGATTTCTTCAAAGAGCATGCTCTCAGGATTGAAACTATATACTCGGTTCATCAAGGTTGCCTAGCTAGCTAGCAATTGAAATATACTATCATCAAAAAACTAATACAGACAAATTGGTTCATTTTTTGTAGGAAAAGCCTAAATTGCTTGGTTGCCTCTTATAAACCAAAAGATGGGCAATTAGTGACTTGAAAAAATTTACAAAAACACTTTATTTTGTAAATAAAATCAAAATTGTCCTAAAATTTAGGTCCCAAATAATTTAGGTTGCGGTTATGAAACAAAAACACTGCTTTTGGCCCAACATAGCATATGTTATTGTTGGTGACATTCTCAAATATCACTTTACTTTCTTCCCCCACAATTCAAAGATACAAAATCGTCTCAAATTTATTTATTTTCTTGACATATTCGGTATGAACAAAAAATGCTAATATGGAATAATGATTTATAATTTTCTTAAGTTGTATGAAAAATCAAATGAAACGATCTCTTTTTTTTATAATCGATTTTTTTTTTTTAATGGTCGTGGCACCTTGTGTTATAGCTTTATACTTTTACTTCCTTCTAATTTAAAATAACCCCATTATAAATAAGGCGTAAACGTGAATAATTTTTTTATTAAAGTCTCTCTTAAAGTATAATTAAGGTGGTAGTATTAACATTTTAGTTTTTATGAATCCTAAATATTAAAGATGTAAGCGTGAAATAAAAAAATTTATGCTACCTTTTCACTAGGTAGACTTTTTTTTTTTTTTAATTAGCAGAGTTTGTTAAAATACATAAATTATTTTATTTAAGGAGTCAAAGATAACATAAGAAACTAACTAAGGGTCTCCTAGCTACGAAAAATGACCAAGGTCTACTTTAAAAATTTATTGAATTTATTGAAGTAATTTTATTATTTTTGGATTTTAATTATATGTCGGATGAATAAAAATTAAGAATATAAGCATGAATATAAATTTTATGAAGTGTTTTATTTAAAGGAGTCTTTTTTTAATAACGGTACTGGCGATTAGAAAAGAATCTCATACATAAAAAGAAGATCTTGTACTGCCGGTGTAACTTTATTAATTTTTATATTTTAATTATTGGCTTTTGATGATTTAAGAGTTTATTTTATATTATTAAAAATTTTATGAATATATAAATAGATATATAATTGAAAAATGGGATTATAACTATTTTGATGTCTTAGTCTCTTTCTTAATTAGATATACAGTTGAATTTATATATTAGTATACACATATATTTTGTATTTTCATATAAAAATTAAAGATAAATATTTTCCTTAAATGGAGCCTTTTTCCATTTTGGTATGAAGATCTTTTTTAAAAAAATAAGAAAATATATTTAGTATTTGCTAATAAAGTACTTTAATTGTATGTGATTCTTAAATTTTTTTTCAATATAAAATTTATGCTTATATAAATATTATGAATACATACAGAGGCAGTTAATTTGTGTTTCCTTTGAGACCCCACCAGACATTGCAAACCATTGTATGGTTTATTATTCAATAAAAACAACAACATTAACAATCTAAATAAATGTTTTTGTACCATTTTGTTTGATCATTTTATATTTTATTAATATATAGGGAATGTGATATAGAAACAATCCTCTTTAAAATCAAAATCTCAAATCCCTTCCGTTTCTTTCTAGCATCAATCCGCAAGAGCGAGGAGCAAAGTAAATAAATAAATGACGGTATGTATTAAAATCCATCACAATTAATATTATAACGTGTAAGTACACAGCCAGAGTGGGACCATTAGTTTTCTAATGGATACAGTTTAATCCTGAACTGAAGATGGTTTGCAATTTCATCCCTGTGTTTTTTCTGTAGTTCTGGAGTAGAAGTAATTAACTATACATTTCCTGCTGTCTGGTTCCGGTTTCTAGCCACAGCTTTTTCAGGTCGCTTTCCCTCACAAAAAGTCCATGGAAACCATAAGGAACCCTCCGAGGCAACTTCACGGCAGCTACAATATCAAGCTCAGGTGATTTTGCATCCATCACCAAAAACTTGGACTCTCCTGCTATCTCATCATGAACATATGACACCACGTACCCATCATCCTCCTCTGCGTCTGGATTCTCAGGCTCCCTTGCTACAAAGAAAGGCTCGCCACCGTAGCATCCTGGCCCATACATCCTGCTAGCCACCGTGCAGTCCTGCTGCTCTCCTTTGGATACATCCAACTTCACCAGCCCTGATATCTTTGGCATTGGGTCACCTATTGCTGCATACACAAATCTGTTCTTTTTCCCTAAATAAGCTGGGCTTATCACCCCAAAGTCTAGGTTTCTAGCTGAAAGTTGGTTTCTTGTAACTACGCCTGTTTTCAAGTCTATTCTCACTTTCTCAACCAAGGCATGGACAAGGTCCATTCTCTCTAATATGTGTTCTACTGATAAAATGTTTGGTGCTAACATGACTATGGCATCCTCTTCATCCCACGCATTGATTGCATGTATGAGGTTGAACCCTGGCACATCGAACCATTTCATCTCTGACTCATCCTCCGCATATCGAGGCATGATTCCAAGCCTAGGTACTTTTGATGGGTCATAACTTACAGGTGAACCTCCTCCAAAGACCATTTCCATGAGGTTCATCCCAATCTGTATGTCGGCAAATATAGCATACTTGCCGGTAATTCCAAAGTCATGGAGGAAAGAAGGCCTGGTCATGGAGACTATGGGCACATCTGGGAGTTTATTTCCATTTGCATGGAAGCGAAAGTATGTTAGAAATGGAGGAACAACATTGTATCTAAAAGCAAAGGCCTCACCTGTCTCCAAGTCTATCTTGGGATGAGCAGTCATGCTCATCAGCAGCTTCCCATCAAAATCATGACGACCCAATGTCTCTATGTCTCCATCGGACGTCAAACGCAAAGCATAAGGTAGATCCGACTCGCCAAGGGCATAGAGACGGTTTCCCAAATAAGCCACGCTAGTGTTTGCTAGACCAATGCCATTAGCAGGATCAAATTGACCAGCTAAAATTCGAGCAGCAAAGAGAGCAATGCGAGCTACGGAAGGAGCGAGTCCCTTGAATCCAGAGAAGACATTCGGAAGAAGAGGGGCCCCAGCATCACGCTCCATGGTATATTTGTAAGTCTTGACATAGCGACTGCAGAGAATGGCTTTCCCTTGGGTGATCCTGATGGAATGAAGCATCCCATCACCATCAAATAAGTGGTAAGGTCCTCGAGGGAAGTACTGAGGATTTGGGCCATTGCGGATGTATGCACCATCAAGGCATTGTGGAAGAGATCCTTGTATCACCTCACACTCAGTTGGAGGAAGTTCATCAACTGGAGCAAAGTTGTCACAAAGTACACATCTAGGATCCACTGATGGCCGAAGTGGAGGGTCTATGAAGTTGTTGATGAGGTTCTCCAATGCATTGAACATCATAGTGGGCAGGGTTGCAGCAGGAAATGTTGCTGTTGGTGATGCAGCTGGGCGTGAAGTACTTCTTCTGGTGGTAGGTCTTGTACTTGAGTTCTGGTGTTTTTCATCAATTCTAACTGATGATGCATTGAGGAGAGGAAGATGAGGAGATAGAGATGATGCTGTGTTCGTGACAGCAGATTTAGGCATGGACATGATACGGGTAAGGAGCTTTGAAGGTTGTATTGCAGAGAGGAAAGAGGAAGATGATGCATCCATTTTGTTGCCTGTACTGCAATGAAGATAGAAAAGGAAGTGGAATGAGAAATGATTTCTGGGGGTTGAGTTACTCGAGTTTATAACAGGTTTTGGTTTGGTGATTAGGCAAACAATGTCATTTAACCCATATTTTAGTGTTGAATTTATTGTGTTTTTTCTCTTCGTTACAAATTATATTTATATTCATTTAATCCATATTTTTTTGCAATTTACAAATCATCATACAAAGCTTCATATTGATTATTTTTATTATTTTTAGGCTATAATTTATATTTATTTTTTTAAAAAAAAATTAGTAATAAAAGTGTCATTAAATCAGTTTTTACGTATTTTGGGACTTTTTTTTTTAATATGGCTAAAAAACATTTTTGAACGTACAATTTTAAATATTTTTAAAATAAAATCTTAAGCATATTGACCATAAGAATCGAATTTTAAATCTGATTTACTTATCAATGCTTGCTTACTAATGGAGTATCATATTGTGGTTAATTTATATTTATCTTTAATCTTTTATAATTCTTCAAAATATTCCATATTCTTTGACAACTTATATATATATATATATTTCCTTATAATGCTTCCTGTTGTTTATTTTTATTATTTTCACTCTTCATTTGTGTCTGATTTCTCTTTTATTATTTAAATTATCTAATTAATTGAAGATAACTATATTTTTCTATCCGAGTTTCTAATTTAAAAAATCTAATTAAGATAGGTATATCTACAAACACGTTAAAGCAACTATATGTAGCAATTGCAAAAGTTGACTAAAACCCATAAGGATTTTACAATTTCTTGTAATACACTCGCTAGACACATCTATGAGTGAGTCAAAGCAAGACAATAGTGATAGACTTGATGGGCTAAAGCAGTGTAAGAGAGTAATTGTATATCAAACAGCTGATATACAAACTTTAATAACGTTATTCACAAGAGAAAAGTGGATGGAGCTGTTGTGAAGTCCATTGAGAGTTTAACTTTCCAACTGCGCAGCATTACTATTACTATACTTGAATAATTTGCTGCTTAGATCTTAATTTGTGGTGCATGCATGTCAATGGGCAATAGCGTTCATAGATAAATGGAACCTGTTTGGAACGTGAGCAATGAACAGGGAGAAAATGATACGTAACAGGAAAGGACTCTTCCCCACCAATGACAGGGGTGGGTGATAAAACCAACGAAACTAACATCTTTAGGTATACCACAAATCAGATTTCGACCACTACTGTTCATTCTTGCCAATATAGCTTTCACCAGCAAAAGAACAAACAAAAAGGAGAGAGGAAAGAACATTTCACCCTCGGAAAAAGGGATGGATCCCGAAAAAATCATCACGATCAGTTGAGCGAGACGCCAAGAGTTGAATGATGTTGGTCCTAAAACCCAAACACATTGTATAATGGAGCTGTAGGACAAAAATGGATATAGATAATGGCTTTGGAACATTGCTTTTGACTTTATGGATATTGAAACGTGAATTATATTTAATTTTGACCGGAAATGGACTTATCATGGTCACGAGGATGACTTCGATGTGTTTTTGGATGAAAAAAGTACGAATACGTAGATTTGAAAGTTGTTCGACAAAAAGAGTCAATTTTCTGGTCGTCGGACAACTGAGTCTCATAAGTGATAACGAGACAAACGACACGTCGTCATTTCTTTTTAACATTGTATTGTTTGGAAGTGTATTGTTTGGAAGAAGGAAAGCAAATTTAACATTCTTTAATTCCTTTTATATATATATATATATATATATATATATATATATATATATATATATTCTTTAAGCAATCTAAGTATTTCGTCAATCCTAATATTTAGGGGTCGGATTTTATAACTTTCTTTTAAAAAAAAAAAAATTCTTCTTTTATGTATTGTTTATTTTCTAAAAATTCCATAGATAAGTTTGTTGTTATCTTTTTCATGTGTGTATATATTCTCAAGCTTTTATCTTTCATTATCTTTTTCAAAAATAACTTCAAGTGATTGGCCCGGTAGCCAAGATGTGATTTCGTTCTTAACTTGTTGAATTCGAATTTTGAAATATGTTATATTTATCTTTTTGTTGTTTATTACTTTGCTTAAAATGAGTTGACTAATTTTGAAGAACAAATTAATCTAAAAATATGGTAATGAAAATAGTAAATTTTAGGGATGATGATGGTTGGATATTTGATTTTATTAATTCAATTTCTTATTCTATTTGTTAAAAATATATATTTTTCATACGCATTAAAATATTATTCTCTAATCTCATACACGACTTATACCTAATTTACCCATTTATTTAATATCCATTAAAAATAATTTATCAAAACATTTCATTTAGTATTTTTAATTTTTAAAAAAGTTATATTAATCTTTAAAATTAATATTATTTTTACAATTTGATCTTTTATTTATAAGTTTTTTGGTTCTCATATTTTTCATAAAAACAATTTGGTCCTAATTTTGTAAAGTTCGTACAATCAAGTCCTTGCATGTTTTTTAATAATTAATGGTTATTAATATGATATAAAGTAGATATCTATATCAAAAATTCATATTAATAGGTATATTTTTTATTTAGTCTTATTGGCTTTATTACCCATTAAGCATTTTTAATTAATATTTATTAAGTTAAGTAGAAAGAGTATCCATTTTATATCTAATCCATTGACTTTCCTTGTGCTACTTTTAATATATTGATAGATTTTGATTAGATAGATTTTGTAGTTTTCTTGATATGTTTTATGTAATTCTCTCCTAAAAAGTACTCTAAACAAATAGTTGGATGGTCTAGATTTCTTCAAAAAGCATGCTCTCAGGATTGAAACTCTATACTCGGTTCATCAAGGTTAGCTAGCTAGCAATGCAACTGTACTAGCATAAAAATAAATAAACAAATAAACAAATTGGTTAGTTTTTCATGGAAAAAGCCTAAATTGCTTTCCTAACGCTTATAAACCAAAAGATGGTCAGCCGGTAATTTGAAAAAGTCTACAAAAATGCTCTATTTTGATCTAAAACTCATATATGTGGTGTTGATTGTCTATCATTTCCCTTCACGTAGCATCTAACTTCACAAGCATATCAAAACCTGGGTTTCAGATTTCATCCCCTAAAGTTGAATTTTCACATTCTATATATTAGGGTTTGGCCGAAGGTGATGTGGTAGGTTGCAGGGATCATCCAATTCAGCAACTGTGAGTGGTGGGATGTCAATATTACTTTAGGCTTTTCTGACATGGGCCTTGTCCATCTATTCCACTTGATGTTGTAAGATAGAAAATTATTTTCTCACCCACCCATTTAAATATGGAGCCAGCATGATCATGATGGGGTTTGCGCATGCTTGGCTCTTTGATAGTTGAATAAAAAAATAAATAAATAAATAGTTTAATCATATCAGTTAAGATGTTATTGAATATTTTTATTAAGTCATAACCCATTGCTAGAAAATAGAAATTGGTATTATAGGCTTCTAGCAATTTAAGATGTTATCATACTAAAGAGAAATAGAAAAAAAATTATTCCATGTTGTTAAAAACAAAATACAAAAGAATTTATTTTTAAAATATTTAAAATTATTTAGCATCTCTTAATCATATCCAAAGAAAAATCAGTCTCGAGATCCCTAAAAAGAGATTTGAAACACTTTTATTGTTGAACCTATAAGGTTCCTGGGCTTAGTAACATTGGGCTGAGTCCGTTTTAGTTAATTCAAATTTCAAAATTTTTTCTTGAGACAGCATGGGAGAACAGTCTGCCTCAAATTATGCCAAGATAGATGAAGGAAGACAAAACAAAAGTATAGACATTGGGAGAGAAATTTGTGGGGGTCTCTTTTAACTCTTTCCATCAAATACAAAGTTGTATTTGATGGAAAGAGTTAAAAGAGACCCCACAAATCTATCTCTTGTATTTGATGGAAAGAGTTAAAAGAGACCCCACAAATCTATCTCTCAATGTCGATACTCCACATTGAGACAGAAATTTGTGGGGGTCACAAAACAAAAGTATAGGCATTGGGAGAGAAATTTGCGGGGGTCACAAAACAAAAGTATAGACACTGGGAGTCTCTTTTAGCTCTTTCAATCAAATACAAACAAGTGGTCCACTTAGCAAAATTATATATATATATAGATATATATATAATGACTCAAACCAGTATCTGCAGCATCGATGGCAGAAAACCTTAGTTCTGAAAATTGGAGTTCATCTTCGAAATTGAAGCACACAACAGTCAGATATTTAGGTCAAACTCCAAAGAAAAACCACACTAATTTTCATCAGAAAACCAGGCAAGCAATATAGTGATGGAAAGGTCTATCAGTCTGGTTCTTAACGCATCAAACAGAGCATGATTCAGAATTTCCTAGAGGAGAGTTATAGGCAATTTACTGATGAATGTTCAAGCTAGAAAGGTCTATCAGCCATATACACCAATAGTCGTATGCTAGGAAGTTCCAAAGCAATGTTTTGGAAATATCAAACTAATTGTCAAAATCTTGACGTACTGCGTCATTTATAAACACCATTGAAAATAGGTAAATATTGTTAAACAAGCAATGATGCTTAAAATAAAGAATTCTCATATCTTTCGTATCATATTCCTTCTTCTCCTTTTGATTTATCGTGAAAAGTAAGTATTAACATAGAAATTTAGATAAATTCAAAATTATAAAGACAATTCATAATTTAAGTACTGCGCAAAAACTAATTTGGTCCAGCTGTGAATTATAAACATAATTAACATAAAATGTCTAACAATAAGTGGTTAAACCAAATTGATTTTTTCTTCTTTCTTTCTTTCTGTTAAAAAAAAAAAAAAAAGTGCCTGTATACATCTTGAAGTTAGGAATATTGAGTGTAGAAAGAATCATGCCGATGAGTATGATTTGCTTGTGATCATAGCAAAGCATCAAAAACTATGTGTCCTCTTTATTCGTGTTAATGTATTCACTCGCAAATAATTGGTTTGCAATTTTTGAGCTTTTTGAATATGCTATGCTTCAATGCAACGGCTAACCTGTCAAAAGCAACAGCAAGCTTTTTGAATTACGAATCTTGGGTTACATTTGCAATTGACTAACCGAGACCAAGACAATTACCAATTCACAAACCAGAGAAACAATTTGATTTTCCTTCTTTCCAATAGAAAGATGACTGAATTCGCCTACAACATAGCTGAAAAAGTTTTGGAGAAGTTAGGCTCCTTGGAATATGATGAGGAGATTTCATTCCCGTGTGGTTATGATGACGAGCTTGAGAAGCTTAAGCACAACATGGGCATCATTAAAGCTGTCCTCATGGATGCCGAAGAGAAGCAGTCAGATTCGCTAGAGCTAAGACTTTGGCTAGAGCAACTTAAGCATGTCTTCTTCGATGCAGAAGATGTCCTTGATGAATTCAACGTTGAAAACTTGAGGAGGCAAGTTGTTAATCGTGGGAACTTCTACACAAGAAAGGTAAGCTAACTTTTACAATCATAAAATCTCTTTTGCTAGTTTCTCTGCTGTGTACTGAATTTACTGAATTTGGGTTCATTTGCTCTGGACCTTAATGATCGATCAAAAACTAGTATCCAAAATATCCGTAGATGGTAGCCAGGGGCCCTGTCCCCTAAGTTTAAAAATTTTCCAAAACCATCCTTGAACTTATTAAAATTTTTAAAGACACTCTTACGAAATGGCCCCTCAAGACAAGAACTATACATTCGAGCCCCCTTTTCAGAAAGTTTTGATTCGCCCCTAATGCCAAATACTTGCTCCATATCACATCAGAAGACATACTGATGTAGCAATCAGAAAGAGTTTCGCGAGAAATTATTCAGTGCACCGAAAGCCAAAAACTGTTTTTCTTTCTCTCACGAATCCATAAAGGAAAAAATACAGTTTCTGATATACCTAATAAATTAAACTTCTGGTAATGGTATTCTATTAGCATAGGACAGGGACAAATCCAAAGAGGGAGCGGAATTTTTTTTATTTTTTATTTTTTGACCATTTGCGGAAATCAACATTATTGTTTGATTTAACATGTTTGAATTGAAATTGTAGAAAACTAACTTTATCTTTTTCGAATTTCAGGTACTTCGATGCTTTTCATCTTCTAACTCACTTATATTCCGTTCAACTATTGGCCGAAAGTTGAAGAAGATAAACAAAAGATTAGATGCAATTGCTGTTGGTAAGGCTAAGTTTCAACTCGTTGAACGTGCTGAAGAGAGAAATCCCCGGCATAGGGAGAGGGAAACTCACTCCTTTGTTCATTTTACTGACATAATTGGAAGAGAAGAAGACAAAGAAAAGATCATTGAACTTTTGTTGCACCCTACTGATGAAGAAAACATTTCAGTGCTTCCTATATTTGGCGTTGGAGGTTTGGGGAAGACAACACTTGCTAAATTGGTGTGTAATGATGAAAGGGTGGTTAAGCATTTTCAGTTCAAAATGTGGGTTTACGTCTCAAGAGATTTTGACTTCAAAAAGTTGATCGAGAAAATAATTATTTCTGCTACTGGCAGCGTAGGATTCGGTGAAGACAATGGCAACATGGAAGTGGAACAATTGCAAACGCTCTTGCGAGAATCTATAGAAGATAAGAAGTATTTACTTGTCTTGGATGATGTATGGAATGATGACCTTGCAAAATGGGAAAAATTTAAAGATATTTTGAGCGTAGGTGAAAGAGGAAGTATGATCATGGTGACTACACGTAGTGAGCAGGTTGCTTCAATGATAGGCACTGCGCCCAAGTATGTTCATAAATTGCAAGGTGTTGCTTATGATGAATGCTTGCCCTTGTTTGTTAATTACGCGTTTAAGGAAGGACAGGGCCAACAATATCCAAATTTGCTAAGGATCGGAAAAGAGATTGTGAAGAGGTGTGAAGGGGTTCCTTTGGCCGTGAGGAGTCTAGCAGGGCAACTCTTTTTGAAAACTGATGAACGAGATTGGAATCTGATAAAAGATAGCAGGCTATGGAAAGTAGAACAAAAGGAAGATGATGTTTTGCCCGCTTTAAGAGTAAGTTATGAACAATTGCCTTCAGACATTAAAAGGTGCTTTGCTTATTGCTCGTTGTTTCCGAAGAATTACGAGTACAATGATTATGAGTTGGTTCAGTTTTGGATGGCACATGGACTACTTCAATCCTCAGAAAGAGATTCAGAATTGGAAGACATTGGCTCTTTTTATTTGAAGGAGCTGGAGTATGGATGTTTTCTTCAAGATTTTAGAGATATGTATGGAGCGCTTCAGTTTGAAATGCATGATGCAATGCATGATCTTGCATCATCAGTGGCACAAGATGAATGTTTAGTAGTGACTGCAAGTAGCAAAAGAATCGACAAAAGCGTCCGGCATTTATCAATTCCAGATCCTGACTCAGTTCACCAAGATTTTCCTCCGCTATCACAGGATTTAGACAGGGTTCGAACTGTCTTCATTCATACTGACAAGAATGTGCCTGGTAGCAACTCAATCCTTGAAACGTGTTTTTCAAGATTCAAGTACTTGCGAGCATTGAACTTGTCTAGGTCCCAGTTTAAAGAGCTGCCAAAGAAAATTGGGAAATTGAAGCATTTAAGGTATCTAGATTTATCATGGAATCACAGAATCGAAAGGCTGCCAAATTCTATTTGCAAGCTACAAAACTTGCAAACTCTGTTTCTTGGCGGATGCGATGAAATTGAAGAGTTACCTAGAGGTCTGAGGTACATGGAAAGCCTTAGATTTCTGTGGCTAGCCACACGACAGACTTTTTTACCAAGAGATGAAATAGGGTGCATGAGGTCTCTTCGGTTTTTGTGGATAGCTACCTGTGAAAATCTAGAAAACTTGTTTGAAGACATGGAAAACCTTTTATCCCTTCGATCGTTGTATATTGTTACCTGTCCAAGAATGGTCTCCTTGCCAAAAAGTATAAAGTATCTAACTGCATTACAGGATCTTCATATTAGCGGCTGCCAAAGTTTTAATTTCGTCAATAAAGATGTCTGTGAGTTTAAACTTAAAAAACTGGTATTGTGCTTTTTAGCAGCAGTGGAAGAGTTGCCAGAATGGCTTATTGAAGGATCTGCAGATACTTTGAAGGATTTGAAGCTTGAATTTTGTCCAGCACTCACTGAATTGCCTGCCTGCCTGAAGAAATTTTCTGCACTTCAAGAACTCCGGATTTTAGGCTGTCCTCGTTTAGCTGAAAGGTGCGACCGAGAAAATGGTGACGATTGGGAGAAGATTGCTCACATCCCCAAAGTTATTGTCGACAATGTCGATATTATTAAAATTACACCAGTTTAGGTACTGAGATTTCTACTTTCCTGCTTTTCTCCACACACATACACGAATGAACCCAAGCTAAAGACTATTTCATCAGTTATGTTCCAGTCATTGTCATTGTTTAAGTTCAATTTTTTAAGGAGTGAAGTAAAAATGTTCGTTTTTCAGCTTTGCTCGAACATCAAACTTAAACTTTTGATTGTGTAACTTTCGGTTATGGAAAATGACAACTCTTGTGTCTTGGATTGGTAATGGCAGGCCCTGCAAGAATTTGCCACTAGCTGTCTCTACTGTCTACATGAGACTTTATCACTAGCAGGCCCTGTAAAGTTTAACTTACGCAACATTATGCTATGCTCAACCCTGATTTTGTCTTTCATTTGCAACTTTTCTTTCTAAGTTTCAACTTCACTCAACTTGTTTCCTTCTTTTAAAATATTAAAAATGGAGATAAATTTATAAACATGTGATAATTCTCAATTATGCATGGATTGTTTTTCTTTGACTAAGATTCTCTACAGTCCATTCAGGACGACCCACTAGTTAGATGAATCAAGCATGATCGAAGTCAACTCTATGTGGCTGATCAGATATTCGGATAACATATTTTCATTTTTGGTCCATATAATGAACTTTTAGCATAGGCTGGGGTTCTGGGGTCAGTCCCCTTTCTTGTCATATTTCTTTTTCAAGCTTCTGAAGTTCTTCTGTTTTTTGGACCATTGCAGCTATTATGGGGCTTCCAGCTGATGTTTGCACCCATGGAACTCCTCAACCTGATCGTTTAGATTCAGATTATTGCCTTGGTTCCATTCTTATTACCTTGTATTTCAAATATCAATGTCACATTGTGGTTTGTAACATAAATTTGCTGAAATTAACTTTTAGCATACGCTGGTTTCTTTTTCAAGTCTATTGCTTCTAATTCTATAAATTTCTTGCGCAGTACTGGGAAAATAAAACTTCCATCGAAAGGAAGCAAATGAAAGGCACTTTTAATTCCTATCCTTAGCAGTCTTTTAGGGCATTGTTAACCAAATTCTGAACTAGATTTGGGCAGGGGCCGCGACTTGCGCAGCCCCCTCTATCACAAATTATGACGTAGGCTCTCCCAACTAGGGGAGACCTTAAGCCAGCACCCATCCTAAGTGCAATGGATGTCACTAACCTAGGCCATGGACCTTCTTGATCGCCAATTGACCCCGTCCAGGTAAGTATGTTCTACTGTTGCTTTATGCTTCTTATTTATAGCCTCAACCCATTTCTTCTTTTAGTTTTAGCCGATGTGGGATATACTTATTTTCACACAAGCCACTTAGTTGTCATGCCATCTTCTGGGAAACGTTGGTGCAGGGTAACTAATCCACTTTCTGACTATTGAAAGGCTTAGTTACTTGAGGTTCTGTATAAAGTCCAGTCTCAGATCAATCTTGTTATGGAATCTCATTCAAAAATTGAGATTGAACGGTTACGTAAATGCACCGGTAGACCATGGGAATTTTCAAGATTCAAGAAGAGAGATGGAGCATGTATTTGAGATAATTGTGATTATATTGCATTGATTTTGAATCCCTTTCTTGAGATTGTGGTAGGCACTCTCCTAAGTTAAATGCTGATTCCAACTGCGGTGATTTATATGTTAAGGATAGAGCTGTATTCCTGATGGCATGGAGATTACTGTTGTGTTTTGGGAAATTGACAGCCTAGTTGGTGCAAATGCCAGAATGTCAATAGGCCTCGGAATTATTTCATTTTATACTGTATTGAAAAAGTTCATTCCAAAAGGAGCTAGATCTGTATTTCTGGTTGTTTTTCTGGAGGTAAATGATGGTGGCAGAATCACTCTGGTTCCCCAAACAGTGGTTAGTTTTTTTCGTTTCTAGCCTATTTGCGGCTCCTCAATTTTTTTCTGCAGCTGCAAAATTTTAAGAAGTCATAAGATGTAACTTCTTATGTAGAATAGTATTTATTGCATGATGATTTGATTACCTTGCTCTAACATTGTTGACATCTTCTGGATTCTGCTGAAAGGATCTTTTCAGAACTTCAGCGATCGCATCATCTGGTAAAGAATCAAATCTGCCACACACGGACAGCCATCCAAAGAAACCTAGCAGACAAAAGATTACTCATAAAGTAGCTTTGCAGAGTAATTACTCATGTTCAAAAACAAATAATTTAACAAATTGGACAAAAAATTTACAAGTCAATTGAGATTAGCTAATAATTTATAAATATTGTGTAGATACTTCACATGATTTTTAGTGCAACCTTCACCTCTGTAACAATTACTTGATGAAATTTGCTTGGGACAGTAACCAACAAATCAATCATATTCTATATATTACAAATAAAATCCATTGACTATAAAAACAAATCATTACAATCCTAACTTAAAAATGTAGGATTCTAAGATTTCTTTCCACCCCATTATGATGGGATGAAAACCTATGACTTTTTCTGAAAGTACAGTACTATTGGTGCCTATGGAGTGCTATCTTACTCCATGGAACTAGCATAAAAAACTACCGAAAAAAAAAAACCATCGGAGGAAACAACTATAGAAATATGTACACACACTTACGCAACAGAATAGAAAAGCAATTCATGAGAAGTATGAAACTCCCTATCCACATTGACCATCTGGGTGAAATCTTCAGCCATTGCCACTTGATAACTCTCATTAGCATCCTTTTGAAGATGGTGATGATCTTCAGAATCAGAGGGAGGATGGTAGTAAGATCGACCTGTTTGTGGACACCGAGAGTGGAATCTTGATGCAATTCTCACCCCCATATAGGCAACATCCAACCATTCCACATATTTCCCCATGTTATTTATAGTAGTGTACTTTTTGTCTAGCTACAAAGAAGAAGAAGCAACAAATAGTATGAAAACAAAAGATGAAAGATGGTATTAGAAGATGGAGTATAAGATAAGGTGTTACAAAGACTTCTGATGAAGGAAATGTATGTGGAGGAAGTGTTGCTTTTATAGACTCTTTTGATCTGCTAGCTCAATAGTAATCCCAAGTTTTTCTTTTTCTTTTTTTCTCTTCTCGATTAACAAGCAAAGTAATTATTTATTTATGGCACGTGATATGTTCTTTTTATGACTTCATATCCATATTAATATAAAGTACAGAGTTCCTTACGTGACATAATGCTATCTTTATTCTATGATACCATGAATTGCTTGATGTGTATATATATATATATTATTGGGTGTTAATGTGGTAATATTATTATAAAAAAAAACACCGACCAGTAATTTTTTTTTTTAACACACCGACCAGTGATTTGGGCAGTCATGTGCCATGTAAATTATTCACGAAACTCCTTTGTGTAAAGCATGCTAGTTTTTTTATTCCATCAAGCACGAACCTTTTTGCCTTTCTTTTTTCTTTTTTTGTTTTTCCATTTTTTTATATATTGATTTCAACGGTCGGCTTCTTGAACTTTTAACGCATGATTAATCCAACCTCGACCTCATAGAATTTATAATTAAGTTCTCCAAAGTTGGAAGGGGAGAAATTAAATATCAAGCAGGTTGATCATTTCTGCTGCATACGTTTCTATCTATGGTTTTTCCACATAAGCTTTCGGCAGTTACCTATGAATATGTATCATTCTTTGGAACATTGGGCAATTATATATCAAATGAAACTTTCTTTCTTGGGTGGGGAATTGTCAAAATTTAGAGCGAGAGCCATGCACGCACAATGAGTAAAGAAAGCTTCCTAGAAATTTGGCATAAGTTCATGAACAGATGTATTACAAAGACATGGCTAGTGCGAGAAATTTGCGAGCATTAAAAATTTAAGGTAACTCTTTCTACATAAATATTTTTTTTAGTTTTCTTCCAATATCCTAATTCTACATTAAAAATAAAACTAATAATGTTTGAGATAAGAACGATAAGGTTTAACATCTAATAATTACAATTTTAGGATTCTAACCTTACACATTGACAATAAATTCACTTAGAGACCTCTTAGCTTTCTTGGGCCAATAATTTGTTAGTTCTTCTACATAAATATTAACACAACAAGAATAATCTATTTAATTAATTAATACTCTATCATGAAGTTTTGCAAAACAATTTATGAACTACTACATAAATCTAAAAATCAAGAAAATTATGCATTGATATTTTTGTCAATAACTCATAAGTTTAAAAAAAAAATTATGTTCTTGGTATTTTCTTTGCAATTAATTGAATTAAATGACTTAAAAGTTTTTCTCGCAAATCTCAATTTGAGTGTGCGATCCACTCGAACAAGCTAAGAAATGTGAGGAAATGAATCGAGCAAAAGAATATAGTAGAGAAAACAAGAACAATCACATAAAATAACTATTTTACGTCATTCGAGCAATGGTATCTACTCCACGACTCGTACTAAGATTTTTCATTAGGTTTTATCAAATGGTGAATGCAAATAAAAGTGATGTTTAGCGAGATCATTATGTTGAATCCGCATAGCATCTTATACTACGGACTACCCATCCATATTAGTCTTCACGACTAAATAATCTTTCACTTGGAGACCGATCTTCAAATAGCACCAAACCTCTCATAACTCGTTCGTTTTCTCAACCAACTTCAAGTCCTCCTAGTGTTATGCCTTCTCATCACTAATCATTAAGGCCAAGTGAGATAATGCCTTAACTTATCGGTGGTAATCGTCCTAATTAACATATCGCTTAAATTCTTCAATCCTAAAATTTTGTTCAAGCATATTACCTATCATCCAATAACTCTCGGATATAATGATACTTTAACCGAATATGCTTGGTTTTTGCATCAAAGATCGAATTCTTAGCAAGATGAATTGCACTATGACTATCACTAAAAAGCTTACTATCATTTTTTGCCTTACCCAATTCCTTCGGGAAGTTTGGTTTTTGCATGAAAGACTAGATATGTTTGGTTTTTGCATGAAATACTCGGATTCTTGACAAGATGAATTGCACTCGATCGTCACTAAAAAGCTCACTCGTCATTCTATGCCTTACCCAATTCCTTCAAGAAGTTCTTTAACTAAACCATTTCTTTACTAACCTCTAAAATAGCCATATACTCAATTTTATTTTTGGAAAAAGTAACACACTTCGAAGTTGACACACTTATGAAGTAACTCACAATAGTACTACCCAAAGTGAAAACATAACCTCGTTGTACTCTTTTATTACCGAGATCACTATTTAAATCTGTATCAACAAATTCTTGTAAAACAATATTATTTTTTCTTAAAACAAAGGCTCATACCCGAAGTACCTTTCAAATAATGAAGAATCCACTTTACTCTTTTTCAATGATTTTTTTTCGGATTTGCCATATATATGCCGACAACTCTCACTCGCATAAGCTATATCGAGTCTTGTGCAAACCATAACATATATTAATCTTCCAACTACCGATGCATAAGGTGTTATAGAAATTATTATTATTATTTTTTTTTCTCTTCAGTTGTCTTTGGTGATTGCTCTTTTGAAAGGCTAAGGTGATTTCCCATCCCGAAGGTTGAATCTAATCAACATTTTTTAAATGCACTTTTCTTGAGATAAATTCAATGTAACTTCTAACCTATCCCAATCGATTTTCATCCTAAGTATCTATTTTGCAAGTCCTAAGTCTTTCATCTCAAACTATTCCGTTGATTTTTATTTGAGCTTATTGATCTCTTTCAAGTTAGATTCGCAACAAGCATATCATTAACATACAAGAGCCAAATAAGATTACGAGTCATCAAACCTCTTGTTATAATAACAATGATCCATCTTGCACCTCTAGAAACCATTATTATACATAAACCCATTAAACTTATTATACCATTTCCCGAGAGCTTATTTCAAACCATATAAACTTTTCTCGCAACTTGCATATAAGTTTTTCCCTTTTTTGAACTTCAAAGCCTTCGGTTGTACCATATGAATGTCTTCCTCAAGGTCACCATTTAGGAAAGCAATTTTAACATCTAACTATTCTAAATGTAATTTTTTTATAGCAACAATACTTAACAATAGTCTAATAGCAATCATATTGACTACATGAGAGAAATTTTAGTGTAGTCAATTCCTTTTTTTTTTTATTGAAAGCCATTTATAACTAGTCTTACCTTGCATCTTTTACTACCATCATGCTCTTTTTTGATCCTATACACCCACTTGTTGTGTGTAGCTTTTTTCTTTTACGGTAATATAGTTAAAGTTCACATTTGATTCTTCTCAAAAAAACCTCATCTCTTCTTCCATGTCTAACTCGTCACTTGATATAATCTTTTATTTGTATTGCTTCACTAAAGAATTCGAGTTCTCCAAGCATTAATAAGAAGCAAATAGTTCAAGAAAGAGGAATTCTTTTGAGTGGGTCCGGATACTTTGTTAATCTCCTTAGCTAAGGAGTGAGAGCTATTGGTTTTGATTCGAGTTCGGTTTTCTCATCTCTCGTCATCTAAATTCTAAATCTCAAATATATCATCCTTTAAAATTTCCTTTAAATCAACTTTCTCATTTGTTTCTAATTGGTTCTCTCTACTATTGAATCTAGCCCAAGCCTCGTCCTTATATAATATATTTTCATTAAAGGTCACATCCCTATTCCTTATGATCTTTCTATTTTGATCATTCCAAAATCGATAACCAAAATCATCAAAATCATAACCAATGGACTAACACTTTCTAGCCTTAGGATCAAGATTATCTCTATTATTAGATCCTACTCGTATATATGAAGCGCAACTAAAAGTTCTCAAGTGTGAGAAATGTATCTCCTTTCTTGACTATATTTCCATAGGAAATTTGAAGCCCAATGGAATTGAAGATTCTCTATTTATAAGGTAAGTTGTTGTATTCATCGCATTAGTCCAAAATGCTTTAGGCAAACCGGAATGTAATATGCTTTGATCTTTAGACTAGTCTAATTTTCAACTTCGACCTTCCATCTTTTAAATACAACAAACACATTATATTTATCTTTCAAAAAATAAATTCATAACTTTTACGGTGGAGTCATTAATGAAAATGACATAATAATATAAATCTCTAAGAGAAGTTACAAGGGTTAATCCCCATATATCTATATGCTCTAATTCTAACTTCTCTTTCTTTAAAGATCTATCAAACTTTAGAAAATGGACTCTCTTCTCGCTTTTCATAGATACATGACTCACATAAGCCAACATCTACATATTTCAATTCTATTAATTTTTTCTTTAATGCTAATCGCTTCATACCCTTTTCACTCATGTGCACAAGTCTTCGGTATCATCATATAGAATCACTATCACCATCAAAATCAGCCATTATTGTTGCACCCTTTGTTATAATAGTCGTATACAAAGTCCCAACCTTACTCGCCATGTACTACAACCATATTCTTATTTGTTATCTTCCATTAACTACTCTCAAATACTATTGTGTATCCAACATTATCCATTTTACTCATAGAAATAAGATTCTTTCTAAGATTGAAATATGTCTAATATTCTATTGTTTCCATTGCATTCCATCGATAGTTCTAATACTAACCTCACATTTTCTCACAATGTCCAAAGGTTCATCATCCGCAAGATAAACTTTTATAAAAAAATTTATAACATATTTCTATAGAAAATATTTACATGGAGTAGAATAAAACGACACACTTGAGTCTAGAATCTAAAACTCAATAGGAAATTAATGCATCTATAATTTTGTCGGTCATTGTATATGCAAAGTCATCATCATGATTCTTTTTCTTTGGAGCCTTACACTAATTTTTAAAGTGCTCCTTCTAGTTATAGTTTTAGTAGGTGATCTCTTTATGGTTTTTGGATTTTCCTCTACCCTTTG